TCATCATCATCATCATCATCATCATCATCATCATCATCATCATCATCCTCATCTTTTTCTTCTTCTTCTTCAGCTTTTTATTGGTTCTTTGTGGATTTCACATCAGGCACCCCAATCCCACTCGTCTCCCCATCTCCTCATACCCATCTTCCACCCTTGCCACCTCCTCACAACAGAGAAAAAAAAATCTAATTTGGAAGCTTTAGTGTGTCAGAGTGTGTCCCACAGTACACCCTTTTGTTTATACTTCTTTGCTTGCAAATGCTCATTGCAATGGCTTGGTCTGGTACAAGGCTTCTGGCTTCTGCTACTCTGTCAATGTTGGACCCTCCCTGGGAGTCCTCTTGGATATGGTGTTGTTGCCCTGTGTAATGGAGATCCTGTAGTTTTGGTTCTGTAGGACCTGCACCTTTATGTACTCCAGCAGTTTGTTGATGGGGTAGATATTGGGATAGGCCAATTCAAAGCCCTGCATCTCAGCCTGAGGGTTATCTGAGCTGGTCAGTCCTCCAGCTCCCCTGAAACCAGGCCTAGTTCTACCCTGTTGCCCAGGCAAGGGGCAGGGCCTGCTCTCCTTAGTGTTGCAGCCTTTGGGGGCCTGGGCCAGCTCTCTCACCTGCCATAGATGGTGAAGGATGACAAAGGGGAAGAGGGCGTCTTTCTCTTCCTATTCCTTGCCACTGCGTAGCAGACAAGAGGCAGGTCTGTCCCTCTTGTGCTCAAGCCTTCAGGCGGGCTCACCCAGGCAAGGTGCAGGGCCTGTTCTGAGTGCTGCAGCTAGTGAGGGGCAGGGCCAGCTCTTCTGCTCTCGTAACCCCAGGGCCAGGTCTCTCACTTGCTACAGGGGGTGAGTAATGAGGGAAGAAGAGGAGGAAGAAGAGGAGGAAGAAGAGGAGGAGGAGAAGGAGGTAGAAGAGGGGTATTCCTCCCTCTTCCATGCCATGGCTCAGGAGATGAGTAGTAGAGCCAGTTCTTCTACACTCCTATCCTTTGATGGGGCTAATTCTGCACAGCCCTCAAGATATCAACATGTCCCCAGAAGGCAGCCCAGACCAGGGGGTTCCACCTAGCATTTGGTGGCAACAGACCTCCTGTTGCTTCAGGACCACGGACCCAGATGGCACCTGGTGGCAGAACAGACTAGGACCCTGCCATAGTCTCAGGTGGCATCACCGACTACTCACATCATGCTGTTCCTCACTACCCTGAAGTCTCCAGTTCTGCCTCTCTTCATTGTGCCCACATCCTTCTGTTTCTCTTTCTCTTCCATATCTCCACCACTTGCTTGCATTTCTTAGTGGCACTTGGGGTCTCTGAGTGTCTGGTGTAGTTTCAGGCATGGTCTCAGGAGCAGTATGTCATGCGTGTGCATCATGGCACTAGGCAGAGCTTGTCTCAGACATGGTCTGCCTCCCAGGCCTGTTTATTGCCAGACTGGTGGCTATCTCAGGCTAGCTCCTTGTCTGAGCCCCATGGCACTGGTCTGGTGACTGTCTTGGGTTTGCTCCTTGCCCAGCCCATATGGCCCCATGTGAGGGTCATCTGTCTCATGCTCACTCCTGCTGGGTCCTTTGATCCCATGTGGGGCTCCTCTAGCCTTCAGTTTGCTCCCTTTCCTGGGCGCCTGTCTGGTTCTGGACTGGTGGTCATCTCAGGCCAACTGTTTTCAGGGACTATTAGGCTACCAATGGCTCAGACGTTCATAGGTCAGAATACTAGTGTGGACACAGCCTCTTTCCTCTCTGCCATCTACTGACACACACGTGACACAGCAGCGACACCTACAGCATGTCTAGGGAGGGGCCCAGAATAATATTAGTGGTTAATACACTGACTCAGAGGTGAGAAGTGCTTAGTAAATGTTCTCACTGGCTTTGGGCGTGCTATTTAGATCTCTTCACTCCTGCACTGATTCTCATAAGAGGCACCAGTGCTCTCCTGTCGGACTTTCTACCTATGAAGATCTACATGCATGTTTCCCAGTACCATAGCTAGTGTGGCCACAATTGTCTGAGAAGCAGCAGTGCAGCCACGGGGGCCAAGATTTGAGTGCACCTTGTTTAATTTGTATTATTAGTCTCATGTGGCTGGTGGACAGTGCCTGCCCAATGATAATGCTTTGCCTCAGAATCATTTGTTAATTTATTCAATCCTATGACTTGTTTCTGGCAGTGGTGGGCTGTCGTTATTTGATTTTGTCATCATTGGACAGATGAAGTGAGTTATGCTACTCCAAAAACTGCAGCATATGTCAGCACGTTGCTCTCATTCTTTTCCCAAGTGGCCAGCAATGTCGTGTGTCACCTCTTCAATCAGTCCCTTGTCAGATTTGGTTTTTCATCGTGTCCTTAATCTGGAGGCCTGGCCTTACTCACCATTTCACCAAAAATAGGTTTTACGTCTCTCTCTCTGTCTCTCCATCTCCTTCTCTTTCTCCTTTTCCCTCTAGCTCTCCCCCTCCTCCTCTTCCTCTCTTTCTCCTCTCCCCTCTCTCTGTGACTCCCTGTTTCTGTGAGCTGAGTTCCCTTGCATTTACTAGTCTGTGTATTTTAATCTCCTTTCCTAATAAGCCACTTAAACTCGGAATATCTACATGACTTTCATTAATACCACCACCTCCATCATTTTCACCTCAAAAGTCTTTGTTTATGCTGTTCTAGTCCATATCTGAGATTATGAACTGTGTTTGCTGGTATTCTGAACACATTTAAAATTGGTTATTTAAAAAGGCCATCTTTGGATAGTTCTCCTCCACTATCGATTTCTTTGTCCTTCTTGCTTTTTGACCTTTCTCTGTTACAGGGGGAAATAAGGAGCATTAACTGAATTTATACATATCTGAATTCAGTTGCTACGTAAATAATACCACCATCATAAGCTTCACAGATGTTCCCCAAATGCATGGAATCAATGCCATAGGATGGCTTGTTGAGAAGGGCAGAGGTTTCCTCTTTTAAATGACCAGAGTCTTTCATACAACTTTTGGGTCTGTGAGAGCAAGACTTAGATTACCATCCTTCATACAGGTGTTGGCCTTGGTGTTGAAAATGCAGATATTTAGTCTAATTTCCCCCGCCCCACACACTGAATCAATTACAGAGGCTAACTATGCAAATTAATTGAAGCCAACTCTGCTGACATATAGCAACATATTAGAACTTTCTATTATTTTTTATTTCCTGTTGGCATTTTAACACATGGGAAAATTCGAGTGTACAGATTTCAGCACAGAGGCTTATCTTTTGTTCAGCCCAGCTTTGTCACCCTCCAGTCTTAGAGAGCCTTAGCATTTCTGTTCATGATGATGTGCACAAAGGCTCTACGCTGTGCTTCCTGGATGAGTCACCCCCTCTCCCGAGTCAGTTTTGTGTGTACTGGGCTTTCATCTTGAAAGCCACCTTTCCCCAAAAGATGCAATCCCACTCTATTTCCTTTTTCATTTCAGCAGCACTACTTCCCGAGAGAACTTGCAGATGTGCTCTGGAATAGATTTCACTTGACCAGAGAAAACCTCAGTAGCAACCTATAGAATTTTAGACTTCTGTATCCACAGTCAGGTTTTGACAAGATTGTTGCCTTCACCAGCCTTGAAGATGGAAAATCTAGTCGTTCTTTGTTACCTTTCCCGTACCCCCCCCCCCCCCCATAAGCAATTCCCTTAGAAAGTCATGATGTTGTGGATTTGGTCCCATGCTTATTTGCAGTGGTTGGGAAACGAGAAGTTTGCTATAAATATACTTTAAGATCTTTTATCTACCTGTCTGACCTAATTTTTTAACATTTACCCACATGAATATAAATATTTGAGCTTAGTATTATACAGAACAGTAGTGTTTGCTATTTACAAAGTTCAGCAAAAGCCACATCCTGAAATTCTGTCCTGACTTGCTTGCTAACAATAATAGTCCTTTGAAGTTACTACTTTTGTCCATGGAAACAAATGTAATAAACCGGCTTCTGTTATATTCTCAAAAGAATAATGTCAACCATGATGGCATTTTGGAATAATGGCAAGAGTCTTAATTTTCAGAGGTTGGTAGATCTGAACTACTCTGACATGAATTTGTGATTTTGAAGTAGTAATTGGAAGACAGGAGAGCTTGCTCTATAACTAGGAGCCAGGGAGATGGCCTCAGCGGGTGAAACACTTGTTCCACAAGGATGAGGAGCCCAGGGCAGATCCCTGACACCATGTAAATGCCTTGCAGACGTGGTAGCGCCCGTGAGCTCAGCACTGGCGAGGCAGCTTAGCTAGACCAACCAAATAGCTGAGCCCTGGGTTCAAACGAGAGACTTGCTCATTCTCCGGTGAAGAGCCATCAAGAAAGAAACCCAGTGCCAACCTCTGACCTCTACGGGCATGTATATACATGTGCACACATGCACCCCAGACATACACACAATTTATTCTGCTTCCTATTGTTTCAGTTGTAAATATTTTCAAATACACCTTCTTATTTTAAAGAGTAAATGCTATTTTAAAGTCATCCCCATGGTAAAAATATCTTCTACCAGTAAAAAGGATTGCACACATAGGCGTGGTGGCACATGCCTGTGATTCCGGCACTCAGGGAGGCAGAGGCAAGCAGATCTCTGTGAGTTCAAGGCCAGCCGGGTCTACAAAGTGAGTCCAGGACAACCAAGGCCACACAGGGAAACCCTGTCTCCAAAAACCAAACCCAAACTCGGCATTTGCAGTGCATCTTGCCTCCCTCAACCTGTCACCTTGCTATGCCTCAAAGTCTTCTTTTTAAACATGTACAGATCTGCTGGTAATGAAGAGTTTCAGGATTTGTATATCTGGAAACATCTTTATTTTCTCCTTCTTGTAAAATATTTGTTTGATATAGATTTTCTAATAACCTTTTAAAAATGCTACTCCACTCTTTTCTCATTTGCATAGTATTTTATTAGAAGTTAGGTTTGTTCATGTGCGTGTCTACATGTATAGTCATATAGCGTATGTATGTGTGTACATACACTAAGTGTAATGCATATTTATTAAATGATTATATTTAAGTGTCCTATTGTTTTGTTTTTTTTTTCTCTATGACTGGCTGTGAGTAACTTACTTGTTGTGTCATGGCTGCTCTTCATTTTTCTTTATGTTGTTAGATTGTACTTCTTAGGTGTCTGGGTTTAAAACTGCTGTTAAATTTGGAAAAAAAAAGTATGCCATTCTTCTTCCAATTGGGGAGGGTTTATTTGCTAAATCTCCATCATGGACTGCATTTGTATCAGGCTCAAGGCTGTGTTTATTTTTCTTCCCATTTCTTCCACTTTATTTGGGATAGTTTCTATAGTTCAGCCTTCAAATTTGCTACCAGCAAGCACATGTACTTTGCTTTTCTTCAACAGTTTAAATTTTCATCTGTTAAAGTTTTATTTGGACACTTTAAAATTCTTCACAACTCTATTTAACTGTATGAACACAGTTAATGGATTTATAATAACTTTAGTAGTGACCACGATTACAAGTTCTTTTTCAATTCTTGATCAACTTTGATTGGCCTTTCTGCATGTTGTGAGTTGTTTTCCTCCTTCTTTGTGTATCTGGTGTTTCTTCCTCTTCCTCCTGAAGTGGAGAGGATTAAACCCAGGGCTCCTGCATCTGAGGGGAGTACTGTGCACAGAACTAAAAGCCCCAGCTTTCTGGATTTTCTTTAGTACTTCTTTTTTGGGGGGATGCAATGAATGGTTACAAAAAAGTTTGAGAGTTTTGGTTGTTTGTTTATTTATTTATTTATTTATTTATTTATTTATTTATTCTTTTTTTTAAATAATTTTAATTTTTTTATATTAATTACAGGTTATTTTCTTTGTATCCCAGTCGTAGCCTTCTCTCTCATTCCCTCCCAATCCCACCCTCCCTCCCTCATCTCTGCCCTGCCCCTTTCCAAGTCCACTGCTAGGGGAGGTTTTCCTCCCCTTCCATCTGACCCTAGCTTATCAGGTATCTTCAGGACTGGATGCAATGTCCTCCTCTGTGGCCTAGCAAGGCTGCTCCTCCCTTGGGAGGGGGGGAAGGTCAAAGAGCCAGCCATTGAGTCCGTGTCAGAAATAGTTCCTGTTCCCCTTACTAGGGTACCCACTTGGATACTGAGCTACCATGGGCTACATCCGAGCAGGGGTTCTAGGTTATATCCATACATGGTCCTTGGTTGGAGAAACAGTCTCATAAAAGACCCCTGTGCCCTGATATATTTTGTCCTTGTGGAGCTCCTGTCCTCTCCAGGTCATACTAACTCCCCCTTCTTTCATGTGATTCCACTGCCAAAGTTTTGGTTATGAGTCTCAGCATCTGCTTTGATACACTGCTAAGTAGAGTCTTTCAGAGGCCCTCTGTGGGCCTCTGTGGGCCTCAGACAGAGGCTTCTGTCCTGTTACTTGTTTTCTCCTACTTCCAATGTCCATCCCATTTGTCTCTCCAAGTGGGGACTGATCATCTTACCCCGGCTCCTCTTTCTTGTTTATCTTCTTTAGGTGTACAGATTTTAATATGTTTATCCTGTCTTTTAGGTCTATTACCCACTTATAAGTGACTATGTACCGTGTGTGTCTTTCTGCTCCTGGGATACCTCAACCAGGATGATCTTTTCTAGATCCCACAATTTGTTCCTTCTCTTCAACCATTACCTCTGTGTATTCTTTCTCCCCTTCTGAGTGAGATTTAAGCATCCTCCCTTGGATCCTGCTTGTTATGTAGCTTCTTGGGGTCTGTGCATTGTAGCATGTTTATCCTGTACTATACAACTAAAATCCCCTTATAAGTAAGCACACACCGTGTGTGTCTTTCTGCCT